CGCGTCGCGGCCGGCGAACGCCCATTTGGCTGGTACCGCAACGCAACCGCGGACGCTAGCGATCGCTCGATTCGCAAAGTCTGACACCGGCCCTACACTTGAGCCCTTGAACTAATTATATTACATAAAATAACGCGGCCGAGACACAGCTCAAAAGCTAGGTTCATGAAAGAACTACATATCTTCCTTCACCAGCTTCGTCAACGGATAAACTACAAAGGTCCAGCAGTTCCATTCTCAGTAACAGCATAAGGAGCAACACATCATAATGATAAGCTATTCCAGGGATCTTATCAATTTGATGCAAAGGTGAAGGTCAAATGAGGATTCCATGATAAGGTAGAAGGTCGAAGAAGGGAAAACTTAGTCTAGTGTAAAGACAGGCATACATCTTAAGTGCGCGGATCAACACGCGATTCGTAGCGAAGGATACGTCCCAGGCGACTTAGCATGGCATTCCCCGCGGCGCTATCGACGCGGCACGCCCACCGACTGGCTAACCACTCGCCGCAGGTCTCTAGCCGTTTAGCAGAGAGCGTTAGCGTTGAAGAGGGCAGCACGATGAGAGTCGCATCAATGCGGAAATCAACGGGCAAGGAAGGGTCCCATTTCTCGGGTTCTGGCCGTTTCTCATGGTTTTTTCTTCATCCCGGTGCCACTGACCACCCTTAGCTTATTTCCAATGGACTGTCGTCTGATCGTAAACCCCACCTTCAAGTCATTTGTTGCTTGAGTTCATCGTTCGCCAAGAGATCGCTTACTGGCCAAAAACCGATAGCGAATTCGCTCCCATTCATGACATGCGCTGTAGCGTTTAGGCAAGTTCAAGAATCATGATGTTTTTCATTTATCTGAGTGAAACTACCTAAACCAGCCAAAAGGCCTTTCTGCTCATGTAGAAACAAAGCGGTACTCAGAAGATGCTGCCATGGCTCCAGAACTATATCACGATTTACAAATCTCACCCACTCCACCACCACTCATAAATCTAAGAAATCGAGCAAGTAAACTTGTTCTTAACCCACATTAATTACATCGGTCAGCGCTATCGAAAAAATCACGGCTTCTTCGAATTCCTTGGAAATGGTTTGAAGGATCAAATTGGTGATC